CAATATCGTTCAGAGGTAAGCTTAGAAATGTAACAAGAGAATTCCTATGAGTCTGGCATAGCATGTTTACTTAATACGAAGACAATATCTTACAGTACAGATCTATTCTGATGTTTATGGTAACTAGAGTTAAATTTTTTTAAATTACAAGGAGGTACCAACCTGCCATCCCTCTAAAAGTGGACCACGGCCAGTCATCTCTGACTGGAATTGAGAAAAATCAGTACCACTCCTCCCAACTATATAACTCCAGTAGTCATTTGTATCTGAAGCTATATCTATCATTTCCACCTGTCTGACTGACAGTTCTTCTTTGTTTAGGCCATGCACCTAGATTGTTGATTGTTTAGTTAATAATCTCAAGAAAAAATTAGAAAGCGAAGAGGGGTCATTACATGAGTCCTTTATGCTAAGAATGAACTAGGATTCCATATTAAACTAAAGTCATGTCAAAACTCACATTTTCAGAGTGTCCATTGTCAGCTTTATGAATAGTTTCAATTGTTAAAAGAAACCTTGTGAAATATGGGCACTGAAAAACACAAAACATAGAGTTTCAATCAAAATTTTATAGAGTTGAAAAGCTTATTAAGAAAAATTGGTGAAAGTTTGCAATAGATTACCTTAATAACTGCTTGAAGTGGAGTCAGACATCCAGCAGAAAACATAGTTATAGCCATGAAGTCAGGATGGAAGCAACTCAATTAAAAAAATAAATTTTCGGTTAACAATGTGAATGTGATAAACAAAGTGTTGAAAAAACAAACCTGATTTACATCTTGGGTACGCATTCCAGGCCTCCTCTTGCATCACAAGAGCATCAGTTGGTGCAAATTTAGTCAACCAAGTAGGGGCTTTGCTGGAAAGAGCAGGGTGAATGAATCATTGAATGATGAACTCAAACTTTAAGAAAATTCTCAGAAGAAGTTTTGGGTCCAATTAATCAAAACCAGACTGGAGAATATAGAACTAAATAGACTCTGGAGAGTGATGTAGTAGTAGTCTAAATATATATACAGATTACTGAAAAAGGATGAAGAGGAAACTGTGCCAGAAAAATGAATATCATCAAAATAAACTGAAGTTGAAAACTTGTTATTGAAGATAGAAGAAAACCTATGGGGCATAACTTTGGTGAGCATACTAAACTAGCAACTTAAAGCTCATAAACATAAAAAAAAAATAGGCAGTCTCGTTTTCTTCTTTGTGAAATGGAAATGGACCTATAATTTTCTCAAGTTCGCAATTGATGTTATGAAAATAAGTGATTTGTGTATTATAAACAATTAACTAAAATATATAAGTAGACTAAAATTAACAAAAATAATAAAAGATAAAGTTAGAAAGGACTGGCTTCAAAGAGTTGCGATAAGCTATCCTAAAGTCGTGTGGCCTTTCTTTCGTGAAGGTATTGCCGACACTACATGGCTCTAAGATATAATCCTTATAGCCTCAATTGATTCTCCTTCTAGGGTACGAACACAAGGAGATAAAGAACAAGTCTTTATCGAGTTGCCAAAAACACAAGAAAATATAGGATCAACATATATAGAGAATGCTTTCAAGTTGTGTCTCAAAAAACAAAATGAACATCCTTTTACAGTGGAAAATTCAACCACCATATTGATGTCATTCAAAATGATTTTAATTTTGAAATTTAAAAAGGGTTGAATTAAAAAGGAAAAATAATAATAATAATAATAAATTGAATGTTTAAAACGTTTAACCAATAAACTGTTACAACGCGATGCATATATCTTCTCCATTGGCTTACTTCAAAACGCACTTCTATTCATCTGATCATTGCAAATGAAAGATTGCAAATTATATTCAAGTTCACATTTCATACTTTTCTCCAATTTACCTTTGTAACCGGTATATTTTTGATGTGTATTGCCCCTTTCCCAACTCATCATCTTCGAAAGGTCTGTTCTCCAAAACCTCCACTCCTTCACTCCCTGTGGTGTTCTGCTGTTGCATTTTCATAACCATATACGTCTGAGCTACTTGATACTGCCATTCACAACAGAGATCACTTAAATTTTCTGAACAAAAATAGGTAATTGAACCTCAAAATCATCTATATTTTTACCTCTTCCAATGACAAAGGCATAACAACTCGACTTTACACCGACACCAGTTGCAAAAGTATACTGGTCAAGGAAAACAATACGTACCCAAAGAAAATCCCAACGAAAAATAAAACTGTGATGTTTGGAGATACTTTACAGTCCTTCTCCGTTGTTATTATCAGTACCCAAAAATCATAATAGTCATGTTAAACCCAAAAAATAAAAATCAAGGTCCTGAATTGGAGTCAATAAAACATACATAAATGATACAACAATTAACAAAAAAAGCTATAACATAAAGAAAACCTTCAGTGATATTATATTTGCCGAATTATTATCGTAATACATACTGGGCATGATCATAAAAATGACATGACATGCTCCAATTGGCGTTTTAACAAAGATAAGGATACAATTCGCCGATCTGAACCATTATTTCTCGTATTGATTATGAGACTGAGTAATGTAAGCAGGAACTACAATAAATTTTTGCAAAAGCAGAAACCAGATAGATATTTGAGGATAACTAATAAGGAAGAAAAAAAAGCGAGGAGTTTTCAAAATTGCTGATTATGGGTTGCTTCTTGACAAATTCAGCGAAGCCCGGCGCATATATTTTATATTAATCTAGAGAGGAAAAGGTGGCACATGTGAAAGGAGAGAAAGGAACGTGTCTTTTGCGTTGTTGCGTGGTTCTTTGCGAAGTCCAAAATGGAAGGTTTTGTATTGACCTTTGACGTCAAACAAAATATGGCCATACGCGGACGGCAGCTCTCATTTTTCAATCCACTTGGTTTTATTTTCTCCTTTTGTGGGGGTAATTTAGCACAATTAATCCCCAACTTATTGACTCGATAGCAATCTTGTCATCAATCTTTTTTGAGATTCCAATGTTTCTAAAATCCATGCGTCAGCATATACTTTATAGTATTTATGATTTTGAATAATATTTTTTGTTGAAATTTTGAAGAGTAAATATGAATTCAAGTAATTGTAGGGTCCGTTTGATTGCAAGGGTGGAAAATGAGTGAAAAGAAAATGTTTACTATAATTTGTTCCCATTGCAAAAAACAAAAACAAAAACAAAAAAAAATGTGGAAAATATTTTCCCACCTATTAGGTGAAAAAACATTTTCCACCATTTGCGCATCAAAGGGTTGTACCTAGAAAAAGAGAGGAAACATTTTCCTTAGAAAATTTCGCATATCAAACAGTCAAAAAAGTGGAAATAGGAAAATATTTTCCTACTTCCATGGAAAACTACACGAATCAAACAGACCCGTAGTGTTTATAATTTTGAGCAATATGTATTTATTTATTTTTTAAAATTTGAAAAATATGCATTATTTTATTTATTTATTAGTTTATAATATTGAAAATAATATTAAAAACTAGAAAATGCATAATTATGTATATACTTCGAATAAGTACGCATATGTTTGTAATGCTTGATACTTAATCGAAACACATTACCCATTTTAGAACCTTGCCTGATACCAACTTGTCAATTTTGGTGTGACAATGCTCTTCAAATCATCCTAGTGGACACGACACATGACGCGTGCCAGTGATTAATACCAACTAAGTGTCAGACCCACCACCAAGACAACTTTGACATGCTTTTACTAGACATTTTTATTAAAAAAAAATCGACAAAATTTCATTTGTAATATGGATTAAAACCACCCGAATAATAATCAATTTCCTTAAACCTATACATATAATTTAAAATAGGGTACACCAACCCCTCAAAACTTAAACTATTCAAAATAAAATGCTGACGGTCAACATTTACTATGCTTTACGAACAAAAGTTCCCAAATGGACTGAATATACCAAATATGCGACAAGCCCATGATATTGATACATAAAAAATAGGGTACACCAACCCCTCAAAAATTAAACTATTCAAAATAAAATGCTGACGGTCAACATTTACTATGCTTTACGAACAAAAGTTCCCAAATGGACTGAATATACCAAATATGCGACAAGCCCATGATATTGATACATAAATTACAAATTAACTTTTTTTTTTTTTTTGACAAAACATACATGCACCCCAAAAAAATATGAACTATATAAACTAACAAAGTGAGTCATATAACTAATGACAACGTGTGGCTCAACTTTGAGGATCGACAAGCTTATTCTAAATTAATCTCCAACTTTCGAAGAATCACAAGTATTAACTTAGTATTTGATTTCAAATCCTTATCTGATACAATTTCTTAAGATTTTTCCCAAATTTCATGTTTATTTGCACGAACAATCTTCCCACCATTGCTCATACTGACTTTACCAAAAGTAGCAGCGGTACTGAATTTGTTAATAGTTTATGGAGTACCCATATATACAACTTTTACTGAGTGTTTTGTTCAAAGGTTATTACTTTATAATTTTAAACAAAAATGTACGTTAAAAAATGGTATAAACTACCAAAAGAATGAACATATCTTTGGAGTCGAAAGTCTTTCTAAATTTAAAAGAAACAACCACTAGAAGAAGAATCAACGAATATATACAAAGAGTTTGGCCAATTCGCATATACTGTTTCAACTAACCAATTTCTGTGGGATCCTAATAAAATGACGAGTTCTAAAATCAAATAAATTACGAACATTGATAAAAGCAAGGCAGTGATTTAGCCTATCAAATAAAGATCATAGTTTTTAATCACGACACTAGCCATTAACATCTCGACAAGCGTAACACATTACCATGACAACAGTATCATCAAATATTAGAAGATGATACAAAACACGAACGATTAACGAACAACGAAGAGAACGATATCCTAGAACAATTTACAAATACCGAAAACAAAAAGCACCTTATTATGAGCAATAACTTCAATGTTCTTCCTTGCAGAAAATGTATCACATGAAGTGGAAAATCAGCTGGTCATGCATCTTATCACCTCAAACTTCACCAAACTTCTGAAACAGTAATGTAAGCATAAAATTGGGGGACAAGTGGTGAAACAACAGTGGAAAGAAAATTGATGATTCAATAATAATCCTCACCGGAATCAAAAGCATAGACACCGTCATAATCATAATCTTCATCTTCATCTTCATCTTCATCATCTAATTCATCGTCATCTGTATGATATATAATATTATCCTCGTCCCAAAGCAGACAAGAGCAAGTTGCTGCCTTGCTTTTCCACTCAGCGCCACAGGTATAGCAAAATTCATAGCCGCACCTGCCAAAAACTGCTCTAAACTACAAACCGAACATAACAGAACACAAGATCTATGTACTGATGAAAGATGAAGCAAAAATTAAATCCTTGACATTGCTGATTCTTTTTCGTTTAAGAATAGGGTTTTCTCATTTTGACTCTTGTAACCATCCTCAAGTTAAAACTCATACCAGAAATTCCATTGGATTATCTTCATTAATAAGCATAATCAACCAAAAATTGCTTCATTTGATATGTTTGGAGTATTACTTGGACCATTTACACTAGTTTATTGTCTCCATAGACAAAAAAGAATGTCAGCACAAGGTTTATGGGAGGACCCCAAATATGCGATTCCAGAAAATCTAAGCAAACAGCTAGAAGTTTACCACACTCGAAATGCATCACTATAACATCAACATAAGGAATTGCATGCTACAAAGTTTTCTTTCTGTCCCCTCACTAATCAAGAGACAACTGAATTATAAGTAGTTATATTTAACTGCAAACTGGCACTTCCAACTCTTATATGGCAAATATGTGAAATTTACTAAGCAGCAGCATAGGAATCATTATCGAGTGGTGAGTCTGGTGACAGAGGATTGGTAGGAAACCTTCTCCTTCAAACTCCATATCAATGACTCCAACTCCTACCAGTTACTTCACCTACCGACATCGACCCTCCTAGCCAACAGTTCAGCTACTGTCTTGAAGATACTCAATATACTAATTTCTTCATAGGTAAAAGAAAATACTACCGAGTGATGGAGATCTTAATAGCTATTATATTGTAAAGTTACCAATATTTGGCACTTATTCAGGAAAATAAATTAATTTGAATTCTTACATTTGATTTGTTCTCCATCTTGATTCTTTGTTATATGAAATTTCCATTAATAGTTTGGTTGCTTCCTTTTATTAATAGAAATATTAAGTATAAGTAATTTATTTGAATTGAAAATTGAATATAATATTTCCTCCTTCAAATATTCTCACTTTCCCTCTTCCTCCTTACTCCCTCTCCTCTTCTATTTCTACGTAACATGTTGCATCAATTGGTATCATAGATTGCTTCTCTCCTTTGACAACGCCTAAATCACAGCTAAAACTTCTAGGTTTTCATTGCCAGAAGGAACAAAAGGTACCAGTCATGGCGTTCTTCCAATAGTTATTTGTTCATCAAAAAATAAGTAACAGAGATGTTTCTAGCCCTCTTTATCCTGATTAAACATTGCATTTTCCGAGGATAGAAAAATCAAATGGCAACTACATGATTCAGTTAAGAGTCCAGATATAATGATCAGAAGTATGGCCACAAAGATGTTGGAAATCAGCATATATGGATACTTGTTCATCTCATGATGGGGATAGCCGTAGTTTTCGTATATTACAACCTGTGATCAAGCTCAACCTAAAATTCATGAAATTCAATAATGTTGCTATACCTGAATGATGTCAGTCCAAAGCTGATTAGAAGAGTAGCTCTGGGGATCAGTATTAGAAGTGGAGGAACTCCTGCAATTACAACCTCCATCTTCTAGTATAAAGTTATTGATGCATTTGATGATGAGGCCAATCCTCTACCAAGTATGACCCCTTTTTGGCTTAAAATGTAATAATGTGTGAATCGGAATTGGGAAGAATAATGTGTTAGCATGAACTTCTGACTTTGATGAATTAAGATAGTGGAAAATAAATGCAATTATCCTACTTTTTGGAAGTTCGCTGAAATTTTATTTATTGTTTCAATTGTTGCATTTGAACCTACAATAAGTGCCGGTGACAGATTGGTAATTGAACTTTTTAATTCTAGTTAATTTTCTTATTCTGCACAGACCATGAAGTACGAGCTCAGGTTACTTGTTCCTCTCTTCAGGTACTTGTTCAACAGTTGGTGGTGCATCTGAGTTGTCCTACAACACTCGACAGGGGAAGCAGATGAAGACATGTTATAGTTTTTTATTCTAAGTCTACATTTAGTTTTAAAATACTATAATTTTTTTTTCCATAATTAAATTGTCATGAATTATTCTTTAAACTTCGTTAGGTAAAGTTATAGTTGCTTGCTTCATACAAATTCTTGATTTTATTAGTATCTTGTAAGTCATCTTCAGCCCCATGTTGCTAATGGAAACACTCTTTTGCAGGTCATATAAATGGTGTAATCACCGGAATCAAATGTGTTCAGAACAGCGTTCTTTAAATTCTGTGGAAATGGGGACTCCAATAGCTGGTGACCGAAGTTCACACGAGAAAACATAAGTACATGGGGGCAGCGGATCATTTATGATGAAGAGGACAAGATTCAAGAGAATGACTAGGAGTTCCTGCATGATTTATAATGGGCTTTGAGGCTGTGTTGTCTCTGATTTCATATTTATGAGTGACTCGGGAATGGTTTATCTATGATTCCATATAGCAAAAGTCTTCAGTTATGAAATGCAGTAAAAGGTTCGTATATCTGAAAAAGAAAAACCATACAATTTTAATTTATAGAGCCTGGCAGGAACTGTGTTGTATGAACAATTTTATTGAGAACTAGAGATCATTTCAGATGATTAAACCCATGTTTGGTCCCCATTATTTCCAAAATACTTTATTCCCTATCTTATTTTCAACCACACATTCTTTAATAAAATAATATTACACGCAAACCCAAAACTTTTCCTTGTTTTTTAACCGCACATTCTCCATCAAAATGCTATTCCAAAATGAATTTTGGACAAAAAAAAAAAGAGGCTCAAACGGGCTCTAAATAAAATGAGGCAGCAGGGGTCTTGCACATTAGGGAAAGTTCGAGGTAGGGGGTAGAATGGGTGACATATGGAAGAAGCTGGGTTCGACGTGGGTTGCCAGCAGAGGCTGGTGGACCCATAATTGGCCGGTGGTCGGGCCAAACTGGTCGTGCTGCCATTCATACTTCAGGTGATAATTACCCAAAGAATTGTTTTTCTAAGGAAGAACATGGCCAAGATTTATAATAAGAAAGAAATTCCTAGTTGAAGATATTCCATAAATCTAACACCCCGTTTGAACCCCATTTTTCACAAAAAGGGGATTTATAATAGTGAATTTTTGAAGATTGTGTGGTTAGAAAGTAGAGTAAAAACTTCGGGTTCACGTATAAATTATTTTATTGGGAGAATGTACGGTTGAAAACAAGTTTGAGGAAAAATGTGTTTTTAGATAATGGGGCTCAAACAGGGGCTAAGAAAAGTTAATTAATATCGATTGCTAAAAATAATTGTAAAGCTAACTAGAATAAAATGTGAGTACCTGCAGGTCATATGGAAGCACCCAGCAGCTAGTTCAATCATATGGTTGCACTTGACACATTGGCGCCACATATGCGTTGCAGCCAATTTCTTCAACTTTACATCCTCTGCTGGGGGATAAGGATTTTTACTCTTGAACTCATAGCAAGACATGTTAGAGTGCCAGGGTACTTTGCAGTTGATGCAAAAGTGACCATTGCATTTTAAGCATTTTCTGGCTCCAGATATTTCTGCTCTAAAAAAGGTACTTTTCGAAGATTCTAGAACCTCCCTTTTCGACATTAAAGCAGAACATTTAGGGTAAGGGCAATAGACCTTCTCCGACACTGGAATTGCATTCTCCTTAATGCGCTGACTCATAATTTCCATCAGTCTAGGTGTTAAAAATTTACGACACCGATCAATTTTCAGTTCAGAATTACAGCCTTCATGCGGACATTTAGGAAGCATCCCATGAAGCAACTTCACTTCTACGTGTTGTTTCATGCAAGAGAAGCAATAACGATGCATACAATCATCGACCGAGAAAATCTGACCAACATTTTTGTCCTCTAAACAAATTACACAACTTTCAAATGAATTGATAGTACCACTAGATTCTGCAGACTTGTTCACCTGAGAAACTATTGCTTCTCTTGCAAGTTTAAATGCAAACTTTATATCATTTCGGGCCACAACAGATGGCTGGCAGTACTTAAAATTTTCTCTAAGGAGAGCCAGTTGGTTGACTATTGCTTTAACCTTTGGACTTTTGGGTGTCCAATGGCCAGTTACCTGCATTTTGAAACAACGTTAAATACTGGATGCTTGCTTTAAAGAATGTATACCAACGTAGTTTGAAATTCTATTGAGTACGGTCATTTAATCAAGTTGGACATGGTGCTTAAGTAAATAAAAAAAGTGAAATCTATTTTGATCATCCGATAATATTCTTCATTACTTTCAGTGAACAGTAATTCCATGGCATTAAGGGACATGAGTCACATGACCTATCTGGAAATACAGAGTATCTGTCCATCTATACAAGCCGAACGTAATTCAAAAAACCTTACAAGAAAATTACAATTACACACTTTGATTAAAAAAGGTAAACTTCAAAAGTCTTGAGACAAGTTAAAGATTACTCCACTTGGTGAAAAGCCCCTTCAACGACAACCAAAAAATTAAAGGTCGTGTAGCAGCAAGCAAGCAACATTAATAAAGAAAATAAATCAGGAAGGGGTGAAGTGAAAGGAAATAGAGAAAGGAGACCTTAAAATCTCCCCAAAGTCTTCAAAGAGTCTCATTTAGCAATGAAATTTCTCCACTGAATTGCAAAAAGTGCAGAAAATATTCATTCCATTTCAAGTTCGGATTGAACGAGATTGCATTTGTATTGAAAGAATTCTTGATATCCTAACTCTACTAGAACAATGACCAAGAAGGCAAGGAAACAGCCTAATTGAGAAAATCCTACTTGACCAAGGATTTGACTAAACTAACACCCCGTTTGGCACTTTGGCCCCATTATCCATTAAATTATAATTCATTTTTCTTTCTTTTCTTATCAATCACACATTCTTCAATAAAATAATATTACATGTAAACCTAAAAACTCTTCTTTCTTTTTTAACCACACATTCTCCAAAAAACTACTATTCCTCTCATTATAACATGGAATAATGGGGTCAAATGGGCGCTAATTAATACATACACCAACGGTGCAAGAGCCTAAAACTACAATAAAAGCACTGAGGATAAAATTATAAAAAGAACTCATGGTACCAAAAAATATCATATATACCCAATTGCCAGTTTGGCCCAAGTCAAGTTTACCAGAATACCTCAAGGATAGTTTTAGGACTTTATCGACCTTTTCTTTCATAGAGCTCTAGAGGTTGCTATCAGTCATTTTCCTATAGAGACTGCAACAAATCATCATCACATACAGAATATAAATGTCCCTGGAACAAGTTGAATTGAATCGGAACCGAACCAAACCATCTTATTTGGATCGACTCCACTAAAAAAATTGATTTTGAGTTTTCTAAGGTGAGAACCAGACAAAACCCATCCGTTCTCTTTCAAGTTTGGAATCAAGTTTCAGAATATTTGATGTAGTACATCACAACTACAATTAACAAGTTTCATTTTATCTAAGAGTTTTGTCTTTTAAAATTAACTTTTCTAATTTCCTTTTCTAGTTATATTTAGGAATTTGTCTTTTTTAAATTATCTTTTATAATTTCATATTCTAGTTGTAATAGGTTTATTCTTAAATTTTGTTTAGATTAGGATTAGTTTATTTCATTTTAGAATTTAGTTTCCTTATATTAATAGGATTAGAATAGTTTTGTCTATAAATACAAAGTCATTGTACATTTTTTCAAAAAACAATCAATTATTATTCAATACATAGTACATACAAGAAATGATTGTTCAAATATCATTCTTATTTATTACATAATTCTTATTACAAGAATTTCATAAACACTTTCGTACCAAAATTGGTATCAGAGCAAGGAATTCACCTCAATCTGATGGTCGACGATGGTCCTAGTGGCACGAAAAAGGCTTGACAAACTCGAACAACGAATCGACGGGATCGATGAAACCCTTCATAACATTAAACAAATGGTGACTGCGTTGAGTCTTAAAAGGAATCACGAGCCCATGGATAAACAAGCTGAC